CACAAGATAGTTTATTATGAAAATGTTTTTTTGAAATATTTAATTCTACAAAGTTAAAGATCAACTCAAATATAATGAATTTTTTTTATAAATATTTGCCTAATATGGCTGAAAACTAATTCAATACTGCTTTTAACCTTTATTCAAATAGTTTAAAAAATTAAGATCTTAGATTTTATTAAATTTTATAATAAGATGTAAATTTAACCATTTTTGTTATAAAAAAGCTTGAAAATAATAATTAGAGTAGCTGCGTAATATGTGACGCCGCGCAGGACCAGTACGATTATGCACACACGGCTTTATTACTGCTATCGACCCATTTTCTATTTCTTTTTTTTTTATTTTATTACTTTTTTTTTTTTTTTTTTTATAACCTGAAAATTAGAAAGAAGTGGAAATCCTTACCATGGTAAGAAAATCAAACATATTTAACATATCTAATATATTTCATATATCAAATATGTTGTATATATCGTATTTATTAAATTTAGTAAGCTCATATGAATGTCATCAGGGAAACCTGTTATCAAGAACGAATTATGACAATTAATTAATTATGCAAAAGATCAAAATGTCGCAATAATTATATATTTTAAATAGCGATCAAAAATTTTTCATGCTCAGATCATGGTTTTTGGGTATTGCCAATCAAAAATGGTAAAACGGACGAACACTGAATTAGAACAGAACTATTACGGTTGTAAAATGGTTCACTACAAAAAGAGTTAGCTTGTAATTTTCTCACGATCATTCATATCACTACATATGCATTATAAAGTAATTATAACATATGATATATTTATAATATCTACTAATTAGGAAAAAAAGTGATAGCTATAATGCCTTCTAAAATAGGAAATAATATAGTACACCAAAAAGTTGAACGGTACCATGGTATATGATAAAATTAAGTTAAAATAGAGTATAAACACTTTATTTAGAAATTAATAAGAATTTTAGTATTGTTGAAATAAATATTAAATGCAGTACTGGTTTAACATAAATTATGAATACTTTATATTGAATAGTTCATAGAATTATTTGATTGTAATTTCCATAAAACTGTTTTTGAATTGTATTTAATTATAAATAAGAAATAAATTAAAATTCACGCAATTTAGATAATGGAATTATTTAATATTTGAACTTCTAATAAACCATACTATTTTCAGTTATCATCTTTAATTAGTAAACTGAAAATCATCATTTAAAATTTTTGCTATTTAACTCCAATAAATAAATTTAATATAATGAGGCGCTAGTGCCCAATGATGCCTATATGCCTAGCATAGGCATTCGTAGGTCAGCATTTTGTGAAAATATTGTGTGAGGGATCATCAGAAAGATGTTTATTGAATTAATTTATTTAAGAATTATATTCTGAATGACTAAAAACTTTGTATTTAAAATTGTAAATAAGCTAAATATACGTATAGCATAAAATAATATCTAGAGATGTGATCTGAAACCTTACATTATTTAGTTGAACTAGTTCACTTTTTTTAAAAACTTATTATTTTGTTTGATTATATGAATAAATATAAATGCAAATTTAAATATGTACATTCTTTAAAAATTAGGTCTTCTACCTTTTAACATCAATGTTCACTACACTATCTATATTAATCTTGCCCAGAATTATACTTAATTTTGCTTGAAATTATATTTGATTCTGCTTTGAGTTTAGGGTTGTAAAATTACCGATAGAGATGTAAGTAGGGCTAATATAAAATACGAACAAAGTTGGGGCAAAAATTTAAGGATATCTTCTGATAGTTTCTGTGATAAAAAAAAGACAAAAAAAAGAAAAAACGATCGAGAGGAGAGAAATCTTGATGGGATAAAATGCGCATGAAATAGAATCATTCGCATGAATACGCATTAATGCGCATGATTCTGCAATTATGCACACGCATGAAACCCATCTCTACTAATACAGTTTATTTGTATGAATTGTAATTCACAGTTCCAATCTATATCTTGAGCTGTAAATTTTTTTTTAATTTGGGAGAGAAATATAAAGGATATTATATCTTTTAATTGGTAAAGCAAAATTAGCAAAAAGACAAAGAGACATACAATGTTTTGATCTAAAGTTTCATATCTGATATTATATTTGCTGTTCAAATTGTTCAATTGTAAAAAAATTTTATGAAATTAAATCAAAGCATTATTTCGAAATCTTTTTAACTGTGATAATTATTTAAATTGATATTGTTAAAAGTTTTTTGTCAGTATATATATGTTTTTTATGTTTTTTATCATCATATTATCCAAAACTAATTGTAAAAGCATGGTTAGTCTTAATAAGAATCCAAAAAAGAAAGCAGACATTAAAAAAAAAGCAGTTGACATAGATAATTTATTAAAAAACTTGCTATTGCAACCATTGAATTCCTATATACTAAAAGATGGAAATAGTATGATAGGTACGTTTAATATCAGAGCATTTGGTCATAAAAAGTTAGAAGATAATGTTATAATGAGAATCATCATTTTTATCCTTCGAAGATACGATATTATCCTCTGTCAAGAAGTCCATTTTAATAGAGAAAGGATTGAGAAACTTGTCAATATGGTATCAAACCCTTCTGTTCCATATTCATATACCCTAAGCTGTCCTGTTGGTAAAAGCTTAAGTGAAGAAAGATTCTGTAAACATTCATATAAAGAGAGATATCTTTACTTATATAAACAGAATAAGTAGAAATTATTAGATAACTATATAGTTAATAATAATAAATTTGTTAGAATGCCTTACGTTATCCATTTTTAGTATCTGAAAAACTACATGTAAAAATTACACTTATTGGATACCATACACAGCCAGGACATGCATACAATGAAATAAAAGCATTAGTGACTGATGTATACGCTTATGTTAAAAAAAAATCAGTAAAAAGGAGTAGTCTTTCTTGTTTATTAAGTCTATTATGTTTGAATACAAAAGAAGCACCAATTTTTGAAGAAAATTGCAAACATATAATTCTAATGGGTGATTTCAATACTTCTGGTTTTTATCTTAATAAAACAAAGCAAGCAGAACTAGATATAATTTTGGCTCAAAATAATTTAATTTGGGAATTAGTTATTCAAGTGATACTACTGTTGCCTCTAAACACGCAGTCTATGATAGATTCATATTTGAGGTAAAGAATAGGAACAGATAGATTGGTAATATCAGGGTATGGGAATTTGACAAATTTTGGAAAGATAAATACGATTCAGCCTTGATCACAAAAATCACAATGCGTGTTTCAAATCATTATCCTATTGAGTTCGAATTGAAATTAGATAACTAAAATAACCAGTAACAATTACACCTAACTGTAATATTGTGGTAGTAATAAATAATTTTTAAATTGAATATTAAATGGGCTTGGTCAGTATTACTAATAAAAAATAATTTTTTTATTAATATTCTATAAAAAGGTAAAAGCTAGAATTTATTATTGCAGTTTGCAAAATTTTGTAAACTTTATAAAAAATGTAGTAGACTCTAATTTAATAACTTATTATATACAGTAGTATATTTAGCGAACTTTATAGATCTGTTTTTTTAATTATTTTTTAACTACCTTCTACTTTAGTATTTTTATTACAGGTTTTGTACACAAATTGATGTACAAACTTGTATCTTCAAAAATAGATATACTTTCATTACCACCTATTTTAAATAATATATAATTAACATTTTTAAAAGTATTTTGTAAAAAATTATCAAATTTACATGGAGAGTACTTATAAATAATTAGATTTAATATTATTAGATTTTGGTATTTTTTTTCTATAGAAATTGAATTTGTGCTATCTATTGCATGAAGTGCAAAAAAAGAACTTAAAAAAGTTGAATCAATTTTGTGATGGCTGATACTGAATTTTGGCTGATGCTGAATTTAATTAACCTGATTGGTTAGGGTTAGGGTGATCTGCAAAATTTAGCAATAGGATTTTTTAGATTCAACATCTATAAATAAACTGTAGTTTATTGTAAAACTGTAGTTAACTGTAGTTTATTTTAAAACTACAGTTAACTACAGTTTTACAATAAACTACAGTTTATTTATATTAACTACTAGTT